GCACAATTTATCATAATTAACAAACTCATTCTCAGTGTAGAAAGTTATTAAAGGGGGACCCTAGAATACTATCATAAGTTATCCAAAAAAAAAAGAGGTTAAAAATCAAAATGCTATATTGTCATTGCCGTCCAAAACTTTGGGCATTTGTTATTGGATTGACTAATGATGGATCTCTAGCCCAAGTTAAGTCCAAGCTTCAAATCCGGTTTCAAATTAAGCCCATTTGCTGCGAGCTAAAATTCCCTTTCTTGTTTCCTCGGTTAGTTTTACAAACCAATTTCATCTTCGTTCTTCCTAGCATTTGAAAAATAGTAAAAATGAAAAAAAGAAAAAAAATGATAAATATGTTACATTTTCCAAATGCAGTCCAATTTGTAAGATGTCGACATAGCTGAGTTGGTCAACTACGCCTCTTTTTCAGGCACTGATCCGAAAGAAAGGGGCATGGGCCAGGGAAAACCATTCTTTAGAATAGAGATATTGAAAACTAATTTAAAATTATTTAAAATAAATAACATTTTACCGTATAAATAGTTTTATTTATAATTGATACAAAATAATTTATGTGATAAAAAAATCTTTATTTAAGTGGAAAAAAATCTTTTCACCAATCGTAAAAAGAAAATTTACGTGAAAAAAAATATTTTTACTAGTCGTAAATAAACCATTTTTCTAATAAAATGTTATTTATTTCAAATAATTTTAAAATATGCTATTTACTTAATTTAATTTTATAAATTTACTACTTACTACATTCTTCCTCTTAGAACACATTCGTGCTTTAACCTTCTAGAATACTTTTTGACGCATTATTTTCGACGTTTAATGCCCAACTTCTTCCCTGTCTAGTTGAATTTGATCTGCCACTAAATGGTTCGTGGGATATCCTTATATATTTATATTATGAGTTTTACCTAACCAAAAAGAATTTGTCCAACCAAAAAGAGTCACCACTTCTGTCAAGAAAAATAACTAGAGATTTCACTCCCTTTTAAGTACTTGAATCATTGTGGGATAAGGTGAAATTGGTTCACTGAACACTTGGTATTGAGTTCTTGTACTTGAAGATGATGACGACAAAACCACTGATCTAGGTCTCTAGCTAGAACTCATGTAGAGCCGCAAGGGAAAAATTATAACGAAAACCATAATATATATATATATATATATATTAAAATCATTTGGAGCCCCCTAAAGTCTGCACTTTGTGTAAGAATAATCACTCTAAAAAGTGCTAGTATAGCCCTTCTACTAGTAGAGTGTAAATAACAATGGTCCTTAAACTATTATGTGACATGATTGATTAATTAAAGGGTGGTTTTATTTACACTTCTTTTTTTTTTTATTCTGCACACCTACCTTCTAACAATACGCATCTCATTTAAAATTAATTTTAAAAAGATTAAATTTACTTTTACACATTCCCATTATTGCAAGACTACCCTAACATTTCCACAAGATTATTAATTCTTGAACACTTTATTTTGATTTTTCACACCCACCATTTTATTTTAATTTGTTATTTTCAATATTATCATTTCTTTATTTCCCTAATTTTTTTGAAGTTGCAGACATGAAGTCTTTTCTCGTACATAAAGTTTTAAAGTTAGTTAATTTATTAGACTAGTTAGTCTGTTAAACTTACTCAAGAAGTTTGTTACTTTGTTAAATTTACTCAGGAAACTTGTTACTTAGTCTATATATAAAGCTAAGTTTGTGTAACATTATTTTTTTAATGAATGAAAGATTCTTTTCCATTCTCTTATTCTCCTCTGTTTCCGTAATATGGTATCAGAGCAAATCTATATGCTATGGCACCAATTAGCTAACATGTTCACCAAAGTTTTACCTTCAACGTTATTATTCCCTTTGTTATCCAAGATGGCTGTTAAAAACATTCACAGTCCATCTTGAGGGGGAGTTAGGGCCCGTTTAGTTCGCTGATTCGAGTTTGAGATGTGACTTTATGTGAGAGCTTTTTACTGTAGTAAAAAAGTTAGATGTGACGGTTTCTGAGAGCTTTTTACCGTAATAAAACTCGAATTCTAAACTCAAATCGGTGAAATGAACGGGATACAGTTAATTTGTTAGACTAATTAGTCTGCTAAACTTACTCAGCAAATTTGTTACTTTGTTAAACTTACTCAACAAGCTTATTACTTAGTCTATATATAAAGCTAAGTTTGTATAACATTATTTTTCTGATGAATGAAAGATTCATTTCCATTCTCTTCTTCTCCTCTGTTTCCGAAACTTTACTATTACATCTTTTTTAGAAAAAGAAAACACAAAAATATAAGCATAACAAAAACATAATTGTCATCAATTGATATTGATCAAAAAGATAAAATAGGAAAATAAAAGCGAATTCTAAAGAGTATATAAAAAAAGAGAGAATGAAACATTAAAAGAAAATCCAACATTATAAAAAACAAAAGACCAAAATGAAATGATCATCCATTAAAAAAACATTATGATAATTAAAAAGACATAAAATTTAAGAGATAATATGTGGGTTGTGTTGAAAGAAAAAAATATTTAAGTAGTTCTCTTTTATAATAAAATTTAATCAAGTCATTAAGTCATTTTTATTGTCTTTTTTCTCATTTTATGTGAGGGGTCTTTTTATCATAAGGAATTTTAATTTAAAAGAGGATATGGAGAGTAAAAATAGGTGTGTGAGCAACATTGCCCTTCACACTAATGAGTTATATTTTGCCACTAGTTAACAATAAATTAGCAGCAAATATACTCCATAGTATTAAAAACAGTGTTAAAATAGATATTTTAGGATTTTTTTAGCTCCATTGTCCCCAATCTTTTTTCATATCTTAATTGTAAACTCTCATAAAAATAGAAATAAAAAAGCTTCAAAGTACAATGGACCCATTATGACCTTGGGGCAACTAATGGTCCATGGCACCATGTTTCTTTTTTTTTTTTTGGAAAGGAAATATCATCTATAACAATACTATAATACAAATACTACAAAAGAATGTGAATGATCTTGTATTTACCATACATAATCTTTAACTGAGACCACTCCCACCAATGTTTCAGAGTTGAAGGTTTATTTATTTATTTAAGAAGAAAGAGTTGAAGTTGAAACTATAATGAGATTTTTAGTTCATGGGTTCACAACCATGATTTATGATTTTAATTTTTAAAATTTAAATTTTTTATGAGAAAAAAATACTGTAAAAAATCAAAATCATGATTCAAAATCAAGAAGGAACCCTTCAAACAAACATTCCATAACACTTGGAATATCCTTAGGATATTGTAAAATATCCGAGAGGGTTTTGAAAATAAGCGTTCCCAAATGCGCACCCATTACTCACAGTGCCCGGAAGAGAAGATGCCTTTTATGTAAAGTTATTCAAATGTACAATCATATATATCCCACATTTGCATTTTCGAGCCGCCGCCTAGTACCAATGAACATGCACTGTATTCAATTACAAAAAACTGCTTAGTGCACAAAAGATAAGCGCTTTTGATTAGGACTGAAAGCTAATTAGAAACAGCCGGTGGCTAATATGAAGCTGCCGTTTGGTAATTTCCTAGAAAAAGTGGTGTTAGTATATATATATATATATAGGTCGAATCAATGGCAAACAGATGAGTATTCACATGTCCCCAAAGATGCCCTATGTTGTCCAATGAAATTAAGTTTGATTTACCAAAGTTTTAAAATTGAAATGATGTTTGATTATACAGTACACTCCTTAATTTTCATCCATTTGCTGTCCATGTACATCAATATGAGATACGCCTAAGTGGAATAAGAATAATAAGCTTAATTAATATATTCTATAAGGTTTTTTTTGCTTGTAAAGCAAGATAAGATATGTTGTCACGCCTAGGTTTAAAATATGAGAGGCATCTTTGCTAATTATTCTATTGCTTAAACCAGTTATTACCAAATATAGTAGAGTATATATAATTTTGAATGGTTATGGATATGAGATGAGAATATCTATATCTTGTAATTATATGGGAAGATCATGTGCAAAACGCCAAATGATTTGTCAAATATATATGACATACTAATGCCCAAATATATTAATGTCATTTTCACCAAATATAATTTGTCAATATGACAATATACCACTGTGTCAGGTCGCCACATTTTTACAAAGACGCCTATAAGAAATTGTATGTAGGACTTTCTTCTCTATCTTAATTCTTAAACATAAAATGACAGAACAAATACCCTATGTAGAAATTCTATATTGCAATGTGACAATTTTTCGCCGTGACATTCAATCTAATTTTAATTTATTTATATGGATGAGAATTCAAATATAGAAATTTGATGTAGAGCGAAAAAAATCAAATTTTATTAATTATCATAAATATTATTTTTATTAACTATCTAATTTATTATACTTGTCAGATCAATATCACACGATTAAAATAATAATAGTCACTTATAGGTAAATATATTAGCCAACCATAAGTGTTATTGTTATGTCATGACAACATTGTAACGTCAGATATATATGAGTTGTTTGGTTTCTCACTTTCGCAAAATACTAACCCAAACATTTATTGTGTCCAACTCACAATTCAATCCATTAAGTCTGGGTAACACGTCATGGGTGATTTGTTGTCATATTTAAGATATATATACCTAAAAAAGGCTCATCTTAATTTAAAAATAACCCATGAAAATTTTTTTTAAAAAAAGAAAGACAAAGTTAAATAAGGTAATTAACAGTTGTGCTCTCACTGCGTCGCCGATTATACATATTTCCTAAGAATGGTAAAAACTCTGATCAGTTCGGTATAAACAGAAGCCAGAGATTAATAGATACACATATATATATATATATATATGTGTGTGTGTGTGTTTGTGTGTATACATATGTATATACATATATATACACACACAATCTGTGTATATGTGTTCGGAGCATGTGGAAATATGAGAGAGAGAGAGAGAGAGAGAGAGAGAGAGAGAGAGAGAGAGAGAGGGCGATTGTTTTCAGCCAGTAACTCAGAACAATTCTACTCATAAATTTACACTAAAATATTCCCGCAGAGAGTACAAAAAGAGAAGAATAAGAATAATAAGCAAAAAAAAGAAAACGTTAAGAGAGAGAGAAACCTAAGTAAGTACTACCAAATCTTTCACTCTCTAACAGGAGCCAAAACTTTGCCGCTACGGCGTCTTGTCAAACATCTGGCTGATCTCGATCGTGATCACCATGATCATGATCGTTATCATCAGAAATCGCAGAACAAATAACAACATTCGAAGTAGTATTAGTACTACTGGCGCAGGTTATGACGACTTCCACAGGCGTGGCCAAGTACGTGGGGTTGTCGTCTCCGGCCATGATGACCACTATCCTGGGCTCGTCTGCATGAAGATCGACGGCGTTGATCCGCTTTTGGGACTTCTGATCATGATCATCTTCGTGATCAGGATCACGTCCACCGTAAGGGCGTTTATGGTAGGAGCAGATGAGCAGGACCAAGGCCAAGGAGATGAGCAAGAACATCGCGGCTAGGCTTCCGAAGAGGTACGGAATGGGAGATTTCCATAGATGCTTATTGGCTGCGGCACTGTTTCTAATAGCCGGTGATGGTGATGACGTGGCGCTCAGTGTTGCCGTCAATTCTCTCATTCTGATGATCAGAAGAAATTATATGACTTGCTGTATGATTTTTGTACTAATTCTAATTTTATTTTATTTTTTTCTGAAGTACTAATTTTTGATAATGAGATATTCGGATGAAACGGAAGGGTTTGGTTGAGCGGTGATTTTATAGGGGGGAAGTAATGCGCCGTCTGATTTGGACAATCTTTGTGAAATGACTATAATGCCCTTGATGTGTTCAAGAGGAATATTCTTCTTTGTTGCTTTCTGGGATGCCCCTATGTCAAAACTCAAAAGTAGTCACTTGGGTAGAATTGTTTTGGAAAGTGCTCTTCTGTAGCATATGATGATCACGAAGTCACTATTTGGATAATAATTCAGTGCCAAAATTTTCTCGATGATTTTCTTTCAACATAATATATTTTTCTTTTTCTTTTAGTTTTTGTGAGTTTCTCTACCTTATCGATAGCATCAATTTCTGATCATTAGATCAAGTTAAAATTAAATCAGATTAAAAAATATATAAAACAGATAATTTATTATACAAATTTAACAATTAAAAAATAAAAAAAAAACTATCAATAATTTATTTTTTTTAATTCTATTAAAAAAACTCCCTTACTTTTTCCGCCCATAATGTGTACATATGACCAAGTACTTTCTGTTGCCTCTTTAAAAAGAAGGAAATCCTTACGGTAATTACTCTTTTAGGCTTATCCAAAACATATTTATTTGTCTATTTTATGGTCTCTCATCCTCTAGAAAGATCAGAAATGAGTCGTCGAATTTACCCAATTAGCTAGGGTAGTTCCAATCACACCATTATACTCTCCAAAGAAGGGATATTAATTCTCTTGTATTAGGCATTTTAGTTGTATGTATTACATCTGAAAACACCTGTGTACCATTATTATTGTTACCCTTAACGTCCACAAGAAAAGTGTAATATTGGTCAACGATTTGCCGTCACAGTTTAGACGGCCTTCCTCTCCTTTTTTTTTTTTTTTTTTTTTTTTTTTTTTTTTTTTTTAAAAAAGGAGACAATTTTGTGGTTTAATATGCACATCACGTGGCCCCAATTAGACTTAAAGTTTCTCCTTAAAGTGCTTTCTTGCCATCAAAGCTTTCCATTGATAATGTCACGACTCAAGCTATACTTTAACCCGATGATCTTGTCGGTTTTTTTTTTTTTCCCTTTTTCATTTTTTTTTTATCAAATACCTTGTATTTAATGGTCATTTACGGTTATATAGAATCTGTATCGATATAATTATTGAATAAAATTTCTCTACATGTTTTTTTTTTTATTTCTTAATAATAATCTCAGCCCTTAAATTATTATATTTTCACGATTTTTTTTTAAAATTTACTATATATGGAAGTAAATGTTAGATGTTGATGTCAGTATATATATATATATATATATGTCAAGAAACGTAATTATTAAAAGTTCGTTTTAATTCTTTCATATATTGATCTTTATTTTAATTAATAATTCAAATTGGTTTTTATCTTTTTCGTTTTGGAGGACCTAACCAATTTAAGTTTATATAGGCCCCGACTGGCCGACTCTACTGGTGGATATAATTGATTCCAACTTTTTCGTACTGAAATTTGCGAATTGGGATGTTCACGTGAATATTCTACAAGTGAGGAATACTAAATACGCAAATTTATGTGAATATTTGAATTGCTTCGGATATATCTATCAAATCTTGAATATTTTTCGAGTCGTCAGATAGACGATAATTATTGCTAGTTGCGCTATAACTTTCTATCTGTTTCTTTTTCTAATTAGTCCTATTTTCATTTAAAAAAGTGAGTAAATTTTGGATCTTGTGGACCGTTTAATTTTTTTTTTCCTCCTTGTATAAATTATTGGCCCGTTTAACTTTGGTTAGTGATAAACAGTACAGATTTTCTTTGAGATACAAATTATTAGCGGTTCACGACTACAAGTATCACTTGTTCCAAAAAGAAAAAAAAAAGAAAAAAAAAGAGACTGCATAAAAAATTAATGTTTTTTTACATGCTCTAAAAGGCAATGTATAACATTGAGAACGAACCAAGACATTTCGTGTGTATATATATATATATATATGTGAGTGTGGTTTTAATAGTTAATATAATATTATCTATTAATGAGTATCATTATTTTAGTTTGTAATAATTTAACGGTGTAACTAATTGAATAATTAACTAAAAAATTAATGATAATTAATATATATAGACGAGTTTTTAATAGTCACCTAATTTTATAGTGGTTACCCGTTAAATATAGAAATTTAATCTGAAGGTGTATATTAATCTATATATTTCTATATTTGTGTAATTAATTGGATAATTAACTAAAAAATTAATGATAATTAATATATATGGATGAGTTTTCAACGGTTACGTAATTCTATAATAGTTACCAATTAAATATAAACATTTAATGACATGACGTGATATGAATCTAATCTCATTAATTTTTTTATTAACAACCTAATTTATTAAAATCGCTTTTTTCTACCAAAAAATAGTCTTTTGAAAAAAAAAAAGGTAAAGAAAAAGAAGTATTAGGATGATGCCAGCAGCATGCATTGCATGATGGGACAAAATCAAAAGTACGGATAAGATTTGTATGTTTTTCTGCCAATAGGGTACAATCCATCCTGCTGACCCTGACACTTATTTCAGCCTATCTGCCATAAATCATAATCGCTTATCGCTTATATTTATAAAACACCGTATTGTCTATTTCTTTAACCAACCACCTTGTACAATTTTTTTATTTGTTTTTGTTAGTTAACCAGCTCGTCTAATTAATAAGATAAACATTAGCTTCTGGATCTGAAAGGTTTCGACAAGTGAGAAATAAATTTCATGATTTTTATAACGAGATACACAGTGTTAGAGGGAAAATTTGTATTTCATCTCTCACCTTACACATATATATCCATTTATCCTCAAAGAATGAACTCAAGCTTGAGTAAGAGACATCCTTAAAGTCCAAGAAGACCAAAATTATTTGAGTCTGGAACCAAAGGTAAGAATGAAATCAAGCTTAAAGAAGACAACAAACAATAAGAAAAGTCAACTGAATTAAAAAAGAGAAACTTCCTATTCTGTCAGTCAACTCCATCTTGAGAAAAATGCAATTTAAGAGTGTTAAATTCTCTCCTATAAATAGGATAGTGATACCACATATTAGACTCCGCAATTCACCTCATATTCTCTCTTTAAATTCTCTCACTAAATCTCCTTCTCCTGTCTCAATATGAACCACAATTCGTATGGCAACTTCTTTTTTTTTTTTTCTTTTTTTAAATTTACTTTTCTACTCTTTTTCATTCTCATTTTAACTTACGGTTGACTTGAGGCTAAACAATCCGTCATCTCGATCGACACTTAAAAATGGCCATTGACTTTCTAAACAAATTTAATTATAGAATTGAGACTCTACACGTACCAGTGAAAAGTTGTTTATTTATAACCTGAAATATCACCCATTCTACGAAATCATGTACGTGGACAGATTTGCTAAATTATAGCTCCCTTACACTATGGATAAGAACATCAATATTTATGAAAGTACTGGTATTTAGAATTTAGTTAAGAATATTAATTTCGAGGAATATATTATACATATATAAAACGGAAAATATTTCATTTTTTTGTTAAGAAATTATGGTCATTTTTAACATAAATTAAGTCTTCAATTTAAAATACCTTAAAAAACATATATGGAGTAAAATATATGGAATCTACTTTCTATCCTTGCTCCCTGCTATGAAAATGACGTTGAACTGCTTCCTATATGGACTAATTAACCTCTACAACATATATATATATATATATATATATATATATAAACCGTGATTGACTAAAACTTGAATTTTTTCTTTCTTATTATTTTTCCTTTGCCTTAATTAGTGACTCTTCCACTTATAATAGATAAATCTTGTTCACAAAGCTTTTCACCCTCCCAATAACAACATGAATCCCATATAGTGCCAAATTACTGTTTTATTTTACTAACCCGTGGACGAATAATTTTAGGAGCAGAGAAGAATATTTGCATACCCATTGTTTTCCAGTACAACCTTTTACAAGCATTCTAATACTTATTACATTAATTATATGAAATATTCTCTGTTACGTTTCCGAGCAGCCGCGTCTATATGCATCGTCCATATTTGTCAAAAAGGGGATCTCATAATTATTATGGACCAATTTAAAGGGTTTCACATTTGAATTTAAATGCCAAAGAAAACAAAAAAAGGAAAAAGGAAATATTTGCTACCAAAAAATATTGACGTTTAAGTCAAAAGAGATTTTTGGATAAGAATGCTACGCAAGTTTTGCAGCTTCCGGTTGCTGCGGCACTTTTAAAGTCAAGCCCATTGGAAACAGGTTCATATAATTAGAACCCCTTTTGTGGAAAACAACGCACTTGCCAACAACCAGAAAACTGTTGCTTGATCAATAAACTTATCAGAAAACTGTTTCATGATCTTGAGTGAAATTTTGAAATGAACATGGGAATTGATCATCACCGAATTCCCCAACTTTTTCAAGGGAAACCTTCAATTTTCCAAGTAGTCTTTTGCAATTGGAACGATATAGAGAAGACTAGTGCAGTCAGTACACAAGGAGTTGTGTGCACAAATCGAGAAATGATCCAAAAAAAATCTTTAATATGGAGACTATTAATCCATTGAGGAAAGGAAAATATGCTGGGTATCCCAAATTTGTCAATTAAGCTCTTTTTTTTTTTCTTTCCCATCAAGTGACATAATAAATGAAGTTGTTAGTAATTTTGTTTATAGATAAATTCACTAAATAGGAGATAATGACAATTCACTTTGTCCTATCACTTGGTAAAAAATATATATATATATATAATAAATAACTTGTGATCCCTATCATTATATCCTTTCATCAAAACCTTCAGAAGCATAATGCGTCAAATGAATGTGATATATGATCATATACAATACATATAATTAAGTAATTAATTACCAGCCGCTTAAGTATTAGCTAATTCAGCCATTCTCATGATTTTTTAAAGTATTACTTGCTAATATTGACATGATTGATGGTCTCTGGCTCCAAGATTAATAACAGAATACC